TGGTAGGCATGGATGTTAGGCACTGGCAGAAACAGGGGCCACATACCCATCATCTACCAATATACAGATACTGCCAGGTCCTGAAACGATAAGTAAACTCTCTTTTGTGGCTAGATGTAGCTAATGTGGCAGCTTCTGTATTGACTTTATGAACAGGATGTTGTGAGACTGTAGTGCAGAGGTGGAACCCTTTTGTCACATTTAGAGCAGTGGCCTTCATGACAAGTTTGATCCCTGGCTTTGGCACTACCGTTTTCCTTAGGGAAGTTACTGAAGGCTCTGTTTCATGAAGTGTAAAATAGGGATGATAATACCTAACTTGGATGTTTAAGGATAAATCTGTATAAAGTATTCAGCAAATAAAGAAAGAAAGAACCAGCTATTAACTATTTTAGCTGGAATAATCATATTAGCTTATCCCGTCAGCAAAGGATTTCCTAAGCCTGTCAGAGTGGGCGCTGAATGAAGAATTCCAGGTAGAGGACATGAAATGAACAGTGTGGCCCACACACTGAGTGAAAACCTACTATTTTAGAGATCCAAAAGTGATTAAGACATCCTCACAGAGGAAATAGAAAGTAGTCTTATTTTAATGTGCTATGAGTAGTAGACACTAAAGGTAGAGTAGTAAGTTTATTTATTTGTTCCACACACATTTCCTGGCTAGCCATTATGTGCCAGGCATTCATGATGGGAAACTGAGGTAAGAGAGCATCAGTTGGCAAAGGGTCAACCCATCCTGAAAGAACCTTCCCGTAAAGATTGGTGTGGTTCAGTGAGTTACTTGATGTGGCTCTCCTAGGCATCATTTTTGTCACTTCCATCAAATGACTGATTTGTTATTGTTAGGTACAGTTGAGTTGGTTCTGACTTGTAGCTTCCCTATGTACAACAGATGAGTACTGGCGTGGTGCTGTAGGATAATGCACTGGATCGCAAGGTCAGTTTGAACTGCAAGGTCAGCAGTTCAAACTCACCAGCCATTCCTCGGAAACCCTACACAGGGTCGTTATGAGTTGAAATCAACTTGATAACACATAACAACAACAACAATGTAGAACAAAACACTGCTCGATCCTGAGCTAGCCTCAGAATTATTGAGGGTTATGTAGCACTGTAAGGAGCTCTGATAGCGTAGTGGTTACGAATCGGGCTGTGAACCTTAAGGTCAGCAGTTCGAAACTACCAGCCGCTCCGCGGGAGAAAGATAAGGCTTTCTACTCCCGTAAAGATTTACACCCTTGGAAACCCTGTACAGGGTCGCTATGGGTCGGAACCGACTCGACGGCACTTAACAACAACATGTAGCACTGTGCAGATGTGAGGTGTTTGTGACCTTCCAACAGGAATTGGTAATGTGCTAATAAGGTAAATAAGGAACATGGCAC